CCTGCTGACAGGCACCGTCCCTTTGAGCCCTTGAGGCCAGCGCAGGAGGGACCCTGAGTCTGCTTCAGAGTCCAGGGACCCGGAGACGCTCCTTTCAGTTTCACCCTCATCACTGTCTCCACATCTGCAGTGACTTCCCTCTTGACATATTAGGGCAGAGGGAGTTTCTCTGGGGCTCTGACCTCAGGTGTGAGAATCAAGACCTTCATGGAGATGGGAAAGGAAAGGACCCCAGAGGCAGCTTTGCCCAGGAGGGGGACAGGGTCTCTGCCAGCAGGAGACCCCACAGCTGGGTGAAGGGCGTGGTGAGAGGGGAGCCGGGCAAAATGAGACTAGAGACCCACTGGACCTCACCTTGGGGGGATGCACCTTTCAGGTCCCTCCCACTTCTTAGGAAGCCCATCCCAAACCTCCTTGAGGCTCCCCCAGAGCAGGAGACCCCTTCCTGCCCTGGGGCATGTCTCCCTGAGCCTGACCCACTGCCCCTCCCTCCCAGCCCCTGGACACTCTGAGCAGAGGCCACTGTGACAGTCATCAGGAAAGTAGAAGTGGCTTTACCCTCTGCCTGTCTGACTGGAAGCTTCCTCTTCCTCCACTTTGCAGGTTTCCCCTTCCTCTTGGCTGCTGGTCACCTAATTTCAGGAGGCTGTTTGCTCTTGACCTGCGGGTGACTTTCCCACACCTCCCCCTGTTCCCTGCTGTGCCCCTCCCCTCCTGACCCCCCTCTTCGCTGTGCCCTCTCCTTGCTGGGCCCCGCCTGGCATCTCCCGGCACCTGCCCTCCATGCCCTTCCCTCCACCTCCACCTCACCCCACAGACAACTCTCACACACCCCTGCTGTCCCCCATTTCCAGGCCAGCTCTGGTCTCACTGCCTGTGCTCTGTCCCACGCAGGGGCAGAGAAGAGGCATCGGTAGAAAACTCCAGCTGGACTGTCCACTCGCTCTGGCCATTTTCTCGTCCCCCTGCTCCATTCAATGCAGAATCCTCAGGGCTACCGCCCATTTTGTGGGTTCTTCACAGTGGTCATTGGGAGCCACCCGTGAAGGTGGGGATCCCGCCGTACGTTGGGTACTGACTTTTAAGATAAAGGAGGTTCTGTTTTTTCACTAAAGCTTTTAAAACCCAAGGGGCATGGGGGCTACTCTGGGGCCTGCGCCAGGAGGGTGACCTGGGGGTTCCCCTGGAGCCAGAGGTGCTCCCTGCCGCCCTGAGAAGGGGAAGATGGTGACGCTGGATCAGGCCCGAGAGCTGGTCCTGTCACTCCTCTGCCGGCCACTGACCCCCGCAGGGCACTTATGGCAAAGGGGGAGCCCGAGAGTCAGCAGAGCCCCCACCTCCCCTCGTACCTGGGAGGCAGGTCACACTGCAGGTGCAGCCATTCACCGTCCCATGGAATCCTGACCTTGTCCTGGGAAGGGCCGAACATCACAGAAGGTCACCACTTGCCCACTGTGAACACCGTGGGCTCGGGCTGGTCTTGACCTGAGTCACACGCTGGTCTGTCAGCCGCTGGGCAGCCCTGATCTGCTCTGTCCTCGCTGGAGGATGAGGTGCTGAGGGTGGGGTGGGGGCAGGACTGGTGTGAGCAGCAGGGCTGTTTAAGGTTCAGGGACTCCAGCGGCCTGGCCCTGAGCACCTGCCCCTCTGCTCCCAGGGCCCGCAGGACGCCCTCCTGCTCCACAGCCCCACCTGCCCCCAGGTGAGTGAGTCTGCTTGAGGCCTAGAGACAAGAGAGGTTCAACCCTAGGCCCCTCCCCAGGGCCCTGGTCCAGGCTCCTCAGGGCAGCCTTGGAACCCCAGGCTCAGAGGAGCGTGCAGGCCGGGCCAGGCAGAGAGTGTGTGTATCTGATCTGTGAGCCAAGCAGCCACTACAGGGTCCACCACCACTGCCACCTGCACCCTCCACACAGCACCAGTCACCCCAGAAGAGGGCGAAGCCCCCCTGACGGTAACTGATAGCAGGTAAACCAGCTCAGATATCGTTGAATCCTATGCCCCCTCCTCCTGGGGGCCCAATGTAGCCCCACATCCTGGCCAGCACTTGTCTCTGGACCCTCTGAGAGGGGAGGCTGAGGGGCTTCCCATTCTCTCCCCACTCAGTGACCAGAATCTGAGCCCAGGTGTGTGTGTGGGGGCAGCTCCCTTTGAAGGGCCCCTCTCCTGCTTCCAGTGTTGCCAGCACCCCCAGCTGAAGGGGCCGGAGGAGCTGGGGTCTCAGCCTGGAGCAGCATGACTGTGTCGAGGGCCTTTCCTGGATGAGGTCCGGGGTTCACAGCCATGGAGCACTGGGACAGCCCAGGAAGGGCTGCGGAGAGGGGGCCCTGGAGGCTGCTCATTACCTGAGTCCTGTCCCCCCACAGCTCCCTGCTGGGCAACGTACACTTCCTGCACCTGGTCTTCCTGCAGGTGCCCCTGCTCCTGGGCATGCTCAGTGCCGTCCTCTGGGTGCACCGGCCTCAGAGGGGCCATCGTGACACAGAGCCGGTGACCCCACATCCATCAACATCTGTTTCTAGAGAAAAACTCAAACAAAAGAGAAGAAACTTCTCAGGAAGTATTGGTGGTTGCAGTGACAGTGGTTTGTGAGGCAGTATGGGCAGTGTGGGAGCTGCCTGTGGGGTTAATAGACTTTCCTCTGGGTTCCATGGAGCTCGGGGCTCCGGCCAAAAATAGGTTTCAAGATTCCAGACGCTGTGACAACAGGGAAACAGGCCCGTTCTGGAAGCCCACCTGGGCGTCGCCCTGAGCCCACGGAGGCCAGACCCGGCTCCAGGGAGGAGACCTCAGCAGCCTGCCCCTGCCTCCTGCCGCCCTGGCCTGGGGCTTGGCATCGCCTCCTCTCCGTGCCCCCTCGCCCTTCCTGCCACTGTCTCTAGGTCCCTGCCTCGTCTGAGTGTCCAGCTGGCAGCTCCTTCCACTTGGGGCAGAGGGAGAAACCCGGGGCTGGGGGGCTGTGGAGACTCCCCAGTCAGACCCCAGAGCAGAACAGATGCAGCAGCCTGGAGCCCTGTGGCCGGGAGGGAGGATGTGGGCGCTCCTAGGGCTCTCGAAGGACCCTGGACCCTCGAAGTACCCTGCACCCGCCTGCGGGGACATGAGCTTTTCTTACCGACTCCTGGGGTGGGGGGAACGGGGTACCGAGTAGAGAGGAGGCTGGGTGCTTCCCTCCTGGTCCTCCTGTTCCCCCCCGGACAGAGACCTGGGCCAGGAGCAGGAGCTTGGCCAGGCCCCAAGGGACGGTGAGGACATGGAGCAGAGACCGGTCAGGTCCTGATGCCCCCACTGCTCACTGGTCTCTGCCCCCCAAGGTCCCCAAATAGCCTGGCCGAGTCCCACTTGGTGTCTGATCATTAACACACTTAAACCCTTGGGGCTCCAGCCCTAAACCACCAGGGCTTTGCCTCTTACTCTCGGCCCCTCCCCTCCCGGGCTGACTTCTGTTATGACGGTATTTTGGGGGTTCGGACATTCACGTGGTCTTCTGTAAGTATTTCCCGTGGTTGGTCAAGGTTTTTTTTTTTTTTCTATTTTGAAATCCCCCCATCGCTCACCAAAGCTTCTCTCTTCTTGTCCTTGTTATTTACTTATCCTTTTAGGATAACATTTCATCATGGTGTAGATTTTCTACTTTTAAAGAGCTCAGCGGGCTTGTTTCACAAGTTCCCGGGGCAGCAGTGTCTGTGGTTAGAACCTTGAACAGCAGCTGCCTTGCACCTAAATGTCCAGACTAGGCCCCTTGACACCTAACAGCAGGAACTAGGCCCGCAGGAAGAAACTACAGAAAATTGAGGCCACTGTCTCTTTGCCCTTTAAAAATAAGATACAGAAACAAACTAAATGCCCAAAACAGATGAGTGGTTCAAGAAGATGGACACGATGGAATATTACTCAGCCATGAAAAGGATAAACATATATAATTTTCAGCAACAGGGATGAAGCTGCAAGGGATTATGCTCAGT